CAACACACACACACACACCCGCTAGCATCATCAACCTCTTCCACTAGCTTGTCTGATTGGTCAGTATCTGCCTTGCCTGCCTTAAAATTTCAGATCTACAAAAAATACTAGCTCCCAAACTGCAAATTATTTACATACTCTTGATTGAAAAGTGGCCCCGAATCAACCCTACAAGGGGGGTAGTACTTGGGGGTTGAAAAAGAACATTATTTAGGGGGGGCCCCTAAATAAAGATTTCTGGTTGCCCCCCCCAAAAAACTTGACTCGCGATTGAAAGGCTTGCTTAGTAAAAGGCTCAATCTTTAAAAGATTCCCTTTGAAACTTGCTCCCTATGATTTCAACCATCTAGCTTTTGCAACCCCGACAAAATCCCAGCTCCCAAGCTGCAATTACATACGCTTGTTTAAAAAGTGGCCCCGAATCAACCCTACAAGGAGGGTAGTACTTGGGGGTTGAAAAAAAACATTATTTAGGGGGCCCCCCTAAGTAAAGATTTCTGGCTGCCCCCCCCCCCAAAAAAAAAAAAGGGTGTCACCAGCAATTCTAAACCAATTGGAATCCCAACAAGTCAAATCTCAAAAGGAGGCTCCAGCAATGCTAAACCAGTTGAAACTCAACTCCCTCAGCAAGACTAAACCAATAGGAAACTCAAATGTCTCAAGTCAAATCTCAAAAGGAGGCTCCAGCAATACTAAACCAGTTGAAACTCAAATCCCTCAGCAAGACTAAACCAATAGGAAACTCAAATCCCTCAAGTCAAATCTCAAAAGCAATACGAAATTAATTAAAAACTCAAATCCACCAGTACTAAACCAATTGGAACCCCGAATCCAATCTCAAACGAAAAGGAGGCTCCAGCAATACTAAATCAATTGAAACACAACAAATCTGTGAGCAATACTTAGCAATTCGTAATCAAGTTGCAAGAACTATTTGGGGAGGGAGGTTGTTTGAGGGGGGGTGTTTATTAATCAGAGTAGACATTACAAGTTGCGATTTTCGGGCTGGAGATACGGAAGTGTAATTCTCGTGCTTCTTTTTCAGTGTAAAGTTGCGATTTTCGCGCAGGAGATGCGAAAATGCGCTTTCCGAACATTACTTTCGCGCTTAACAGTTGTGTTTTTTTCGCGCTTGAGCTGAAAATGCTGCGCTTGCCACGCAGCCGTAGCATCAGCCCAAAACACACTGCGCCCACAACGAAAAACGCGTGCCAGTGTCACAGAACGCTGTGCTGGCCATGGCATCCTGCCGTCAACACACAAATCGAAGATTGGCACGGAGCCACAGCGAGAGCGCAGTTTTGAAGAAAGGCGCGTTTTGCGAAGCTGTCGCACACAAGACAACTTTTTGCGACAACTGCCATGGCTTTAGACGCGCGATGGTCCAAGCGTCGTGGCCTGACCCGACAAGGAGACATCCACCGCGTAGCGGCCCTGCCAAAACTCACCTTGCTCTCAAGAAAAAAACGCATTTGGCACGAGGCTCCCTAAAAAACCGTAGTGCGAACCTCCGCGCTTCCGAGCCCTGCCATACAAAAAGCTGCGTTTCGCGGGAAGCTTCCTGAAAAGGCATAGCTAGCGCGTCAGTGAAAGCGCACCGCCCGCGCGAACCCACATTTCGCGCGCGCGCCTCTCGCATCGAAAACAAAATTTATCGCATAGGGCCACCACTTTGAGCGCAAACCCTCCAGCCTAAACTCTTACCGTAGGAACCCCTTAGTGTACTAACACTATTGGAACTGGCGGGGTCGGAGGGCAAAAGTGGCTTCCATGGTCTCGAGACCTAGATTTGATGAGCTGTCCTTTGGTGACTTTTCGAAAAACGTGCCCTGAACAAAGGCACGCAAACGCATTTTTGAACCTGTGTGGTACAGGTGGTGCTGAAGGTCACTTTTGCGAGCTCACAGAAAGTGGCCGGCCCAAGTCTCCGGAGCGTGGAAAACGGGGTTCAGAAACAAGCTAACATTTCTTCAGCACAGGGAAGTGCTTTAGCTCGGTCCTCCAGTAGAGAGGTTAGAACAAGTTGGTACCCTTTATTTCTGTAGTCTATTTTAGTAGGGGAACCCTCCCCCCAAAAAAGAAACAGTAAAAGAGCACCTTGGGGGACCTAGTTATGTCAACCTCGAGCCAATCCCGTTGCTTCTCGTTGCCCACTGGACCCGATTGCAACGGTGGATAAGCATCATCAAGCGGGCAAATTAGAGCATTCACCTGCAAATCTTTGGCATCACCAAGTGGCCATGGGTCAAAATCCAAATCGTAAACCCAGTGAACGGGACCCAATCCAACCACTCAAATAGACTTCCTAGCTTGGCTGGTGAGTTCACCTACCAACCAAAATGGGATCCCAAAACGGTTTCGACCCACCAAGTGACCTTCCTGAGCGGGGATCCTTACAAGAAAACACCTGAACATTGCAACATGGTGGGAACCCCTTTGTTTTGGTCTTGGAGAAGCCACATGTGTCAAATGGCGGCAAAACGGAGATCGATCCATCTTAGGAGCCCCGAGTAGTCTCTCTTTTTTCCCGCCTCCCCCAAAAAAAAAATCTTCAGCCCAGAAACCGCCTCCGGCCCCAAAAAAATGACACCTCGGCCAACCAAAAAAATGCCACGGATCCAGTCCACCGAGCATGGGTCAACGCCCACCCCTGGCATCCAAGGTGGCACATGGGATCGTCCATGGAGCCACAGGTGACCCATGGCCATATCCCCGCTAAAAAACGCAGAGGCGGAGATATTTTACGAAATGACCAGGGCGAGGTGGCCGCGGACTTCCAAAAGAGGTTCCCCCCCCCAAAAAAAAAAGAAGACAAACCTCACATGGGAGTTTCTCAAAATGGGATTCGGGCCCCCGTTCGGTTGCTATGTTCAACCCAAAGTTGAAACCCTTGCCTTTGTAGGACATGGCCCCAGATTTTATGAGAAGAACGCACGTGGGTCTGTCTTTTTTGATGGGAATCCTTTTTGGGTGGTTTAGGAAAACCAGAAGTAAATCCGAAATCCATGTTTGAGTGTCCAAATCCTGAAAAAGCGAGAGAGAGAGAGAGAGAGAAAAAAAAAAAGAAAAAAAAAGAGAGAGAGAAAAAAAAAAGGAGAGAGAGCTAGAGAGAGATAGAGAGAGAGAGAGAGGGAGAGGGAGAGGGAGAGGGAGAGGGAGGTCCGAGAGAGACTGACCTGCACAAAAGGTGGCCTTTTGGACAAATAGATGGGTTTCCCTGGTACATCGGAGAAAACAAGATATAAACCAGTGGAACCCATCGAGTTTTACTGGACACCGGTGTCGACCTGCGTTTCTTGTTGTCGTCTTAGCGAAGGTGCTGGCGTGAAACTGACCGAGAAAGCAGGCGACGGAATCGAATCCGTGGCGCGGTCGCTTGTTCATCATTTTTCCAGGTATCTCAAAGATCTAGGGGTTGCTTCCTCTTCCATTCTGTTCAACCATCGTTCTTGTCAACAACCGGATTCGTTTTCCCTGGGTTTCCGGAGGTTTTCTAGAAGGATCCCTGGAAAGAATGGGAAAGGTATCCCTAGAAAAGAGGGCTCGTGTAGCCCTTATCTCCCCAAAAAGCGAAAGGTAAAGCCTGGATGTCAGGATCAGGATTTTATGGTTGTGGGCCCACAAAAACAAACCTCGCCTAAGGCCCAATACCAGGCACGAGTTGTCCATTTTCGGCGCTACCCTTTACTCACTTGCCAAAGGACTCTGGAAGTAAAAGGTCAACCTTTTCGGACCGTGACCAAACACGAACCAACACAGGAAAATCGAAAGGCCGAAGGGAAACTTTCGCTTTGGGGAACTGATTTTAGGAGTAAGGTCATTTGGTGAAACCCAGTCAACCATATCACTTGCCCGGACAATATTGCTTGCTTCGCCAGTCAATGGCATAGAAGGGGTCTATGGCCTTCATGCAAGCTTACATTGGTGGTATATCTGGCATCCATACATTCAAATATCATGCAAAAAAAAAGCCAACTTGACGCAAGCTTCCCCGTGAGAAACCTACCAAAAACAAGGGCTTCTGGCATAGGTGGCCTCTTGGAAAAATAGATGGCCCTGGTAAATGGAATAAAACCCATCCAAACCAGTGCCATCCATTTTTAGCGAAACCAACCTAAAAAGGACACCTATGGTTTCTGGGCTCTCATGGTAGACTATCAAGACTCCTGCCTTCGCTAGCTTAAACTCTTGCGCAGTTCCTTCGGAACATCGCGAACGTGAGGCTCTTCTATGCGGGATGGGCCGATGGGAGGCACCGGAAATCCGGACCGTCGATGGATGGATCCATATCATTTGGACGCCCCAAAGCTGCAAAGTTCTACCACCAGCAAATGAGTGACAATCAAAACCTGGTTTTAAAATGGTCGACTGATCTTACTAACCTTCGCTTACCCGGGTTTTGAAAGAGACTCAAATGTTTTTGTGATCTCTCTCGGCTTGAATTCTTTGAGGTTGCCAATTCTAGGGCATCCCTGTTGTCTGCATGTGCCAAAATAGGTGGATCTACGCCAAACATCGGTGTGGAGGGTATCCTCAGAAAAACAGACGCAGATATGGCATGGTCGGTCTCCTGATGTGGGCCATGGTCATGGTTCCCCTAAGAGAAATCCTTATGAAGAAGCCTACGCGGTTGACGACCCGAACCAAGTACCGGGACCCGCTCCCATGGCTATGGCGTAAAATTGGGGAACCTCCCAATGGGTTGGTGTCCTTTGGCTGAAGCCTCAACAAAAGACACCCATACTGTTGATGGACGGAATCCACCTATGAATCCCTGGAATGACGAGTCCCCCATAAATGCCAACTAGCAGTAGTTTCAACCATGATGTCATGTCGTGGCGCGAGAAGCGGATTTCGCAACCATCCATAGTCGGTTGATTTCTGCTCCCCTGCTAAAAGTTTAACATTTCATGGCTTAATACGGAAAACCCATTAGTGGGCAAAAAGTGAAAGTCCTAGCATCCCTTGGCAAAATGCACCAAAGCATAGTAATTATCTTCGGCCGGTTGGGGTGCTCCCCAGCCCCATGTGCTCCCAGTAAACGAGGTCTTTGTACCGGAAGCTCAGGTGCGCAGCCGCGGCGACGGCGAACGCTCGGGGGACGGGGTCTCAGTGAGATCTATAAGGGGCGTGTACACCTCGTACCAGGATTCTTCCGCAGACCAGGCGTACCTCGAACAAAATGACCGACCCGTCGACTGAAAAACACCAGGGCTCGGCATTGTTGAAAAATGGGGGGGGGGGGGGGGGGCGTGGTCAAAATAGTCTAGGTCCTCCAGTGGAGAGGTTAGAATAAGTTGCTACCAACTTCTTTCATTTTTTCTATTTTAGTAGGGGAACCCTCCCCACAAAAAGGGCAAATGGGCACTACTGCGAAACCTAGTCGTTCAAACGACCCGTCCACTCAAACACAAGGCCTGCACATTGTTGAAAAAAGGTGGGCTCGTGGAAAAAGAAAGTGGACATGGGAAGTTAGGGTTCATGTGGTCAATCGATGACTTGCCTGGGCATGGGAAACTAGGGTAGTGGTGTTTTCTCCATTTTGTTTGGTGATTCAATGTATATCATCCCCACGTCCTGAAGCCTGCTGAAACTTTGACCCGCCTCATATCCTCTTAAAGGGAAGCCTGAATGCATGTGCTTTGGAATCAGTGCCATGGTCAACCCGCCCCCCCCACCCCCCCGAAATATTGACCAGGAATCTCTATCATGGTTGTCCAATCTTCCTAAATAATGCCGCCCATTTATCATGGTTGTCGGCCCAGAAAGGAAACCGAAAAAGGTGGCTTCAACGTCTTCAGACAGTGGCTTGAGCCTGTTTCAGTGTGGGGAACAGCCGAATACCTTTTCATCCTGAGTTACGCCGGTAAAGAAGGAAGTTGGCCCAAAACTCCGGATGGCTTTTCACCGAGCCTAGTTACTTGGATGCACCCGCGTCAGTAGGTTCGTTTTCATGGTTTTAAGCCAGACGAAAACAGGAGGTTGGCAAATACATAGCCTTGGCTACAACCTACTTACCTGATGTGCAGATCTGGTGTTTGTCCTGGATACTGATCCCATCTCCATGTTAGGTATAACCAAGGGAAGCACCCTTGAAAAACTACCAGGGTAATTCCTGGTCGCCCACCGGCATCGATGGGAGCCGGTGAGCGCAAGGATTCAGACGCCCCGTTGATCAATAGCGTGTCACATGTGGGTGCGTCCTTTTTTGAGGGTACCACCCGTTTGTGGTGTTAAAGGAAAACCAGAAGGACACCCACCATTCTGGGGGGTGCCCTACACCCATTCGTGAAAATCGCGGTACCCATTTGGACCTTCCTTTTGGCTTTCCAAACAAATCCAAAGCGACACAGCGTCTGCCTTTTTCGAAGGCCACTCGAGAAGCCCGTCGCCGAGCCAAAAAAGCACGCTGCAAAGTGGCGATGTTTGAAGCCAAGACGCAAGTGTACCACGCTGATAAGGAAACACTCGATGCCTCGGCATCGCATCTCAGACATTGGCACTACGATTCCAAACCAGAAACAGGGAAAGCTCTAGGGGTTGATTCCCCATTCTTTTCAACCATCGTTCTTTCTAAAAACCGGATCCATGTTCCTGGGTTTCCAGAGGTTTTCTAGAAAGATCCGGATCCCTGGGTCAAGAATGGAAATGGAAGGTACCCCGAGAAAAGCCCGCATTTTTCAGGCCCTTCACATTCTGCTTACTTAGTCTACCTATCAGCAAATCTTGGAGACCCCAAAGAGGCCCAAAAAAAAAGCCTTGAAAAGGCTCCCCCTTTTTCGCATGATGTCCTTTTCTTGCCCGCGTGCTCCCTACTTGCAATATTGAGTTGGCATCCACCTCAAGTCCACGTTTTCAGGGGTTCTCTAAATTTCGGTTTCGGAAAGCGTCCGTTCAGTACTACTTAAAAAGCGGCTGGGTCATCTTGTTTGCAAGTCCGACCAAACGGAGCCCTTTGCCCTTGCGCTTTCTTTTCTCCAAACTTGGGCGCAAGAACCTGATACCTGGTGCCATACGGAACTGACTGTGAATTCCAGCTCCAAAGTTGGCACATGGCCGTCAAACATTGGGTCATCCCAAAATGGCATTCGAAACTGTCCACAGTACAGTACCTGCCAGTTTTTTGCGGATCTCCCCACAGGGTTTCAAGTTTTCACCGGCCTTCTGGAGGCCCCAAAAAGGCAGAAATCCGCTCCCGGATGGTGCCACTTCACGCGGCCTGCTTGAATCGGAGCCCTCCACATGGTGGTTGTCCTTTTTGGTGTCCTTTGAAACCGACTTTCTGGCGACCCCTAAGAGTGAAGCCAGGGATTCTCCCTTTCTAGGGGGAACGAACCACTGGGTTTCAGCCCACGGGGTCAAAAGGCGGCACTTGGTGTGGCAGCTCAGCACTGGGTTTGACCCAGTCAGGTGGAGCCTTGCAAAGGGGGTTGCACTTTTTGGGGTCGAAAGGTGGAGCCTTGAAGGCGGGTAGCAACTCACAAGAAGAAGAAACAAAAAAGGACCGCCAAGTTGAACCCCCAGTCCAAAGGTGGAGCCTCAACAACAAAAAAACGAGGTCTACGGGTAGCCACTCACCAAAAAAAAAGAAGCACGAAGCGACCGCGCGCCCGCCCCGGTTTTTTTTGCACGCCGGCCGAAACCGAGCGGCACAGCAGCGAGGCGTAGAGCAGGTTGGCCCGAGTGTAGGACCACCAGCAGAAGGGCGGGCAGGAGGCCAGCGCCATGGATTGGAGGAAGGCGATGGTGACGATGATCCTCGAAACCCACTGGGTTGAAAAAAAGTTAAGGGACGGCCCCTTACATAACGAAAAGGCGCGGGGTATTTTTTTCAGACTTGGGTCTGTGTCTTCGCTATTTACTTATTCTTTGTGTGTCTTGGTTCTTCCCTTTCTTTGTTTTTTTCAGCCCGTGCTTTCGCTTTGCTGCTGTCTTGTTTTGCTTTGGGCTCGTCCCTCTTGTTTTGTTTGATGTGGACGCCAGTGGCTTCAATTTGCTTCTTTGAGTTGCTTTTTTGTTTTGGTCCTTCCGTTGCTTTTTGTTTTGGTTCTTCCGTTGTTTTTGTTTGCTTTGGATGTGGAAGCCATTCTTTGGTGTTGTCTTTGTTTATGTCTGGACACGCGTCCTCTGGATTTTGCGGGTTCCCCCGGATAAGCGTGCCGTCTCAAGGGCTGGCATGTTTGTTTGTCAGCCTTGGCTCTGGCTAGATCACCAGCATCAAAGGCATCACCAGCATCAGCAGCAGCACAGGCATCACCAGCAGCCATGAATGCGGATTTGCACGTCACACATCGCCAAACAAAACAGACTCAGATTTTTTTTCCGGGCCTTCTCCGGATTTTGCGGGCCTTCTCCGGATTTTGCGGGCCTTCTCCGGGTTTGCGTGCTCCCCCAACCTCTGCGTGCTCGCTCATTTTTATTATTATTTTTCAAAAAAATACAAAGCTGAGAAGGTCCACTTGGGAACAGCCTATGGCCAGAAATGAGGTACCTTGCAGTAAAAATGCACATCGGCTTTTCCCGGGGTATCGTGCCTTCTCAGTGTTTTTTCTTCTTTTTTCGGGCGGTTCCCCCCCCCCCCCAGGTCACGTCGGCCTGATCGGATCCCCTGTTTGATTTGGGGGGATCCTAGCTGGTTTTTGACCACAGGGAAAACAACAAGGTTCCATTTCCAGTCCCAGGGGCCCAGATTGCTTGTGAAACGGCGCCAAAAGAGAAAGAGTACTCAGTGCGCTTCGTGAGAGGGGGGATAGCTGGGAAAGCAATAATCAAGCACATTCATGTCTGGATATAGCACCCTTTAAAACGGTTCCAAGCATTGAGAAGGCATGGGCCCCTGGAGAAGCCTCGGGGATGGGGGTCCAGACCCTCGACAAACGGAAAGCAGCGTCTGACCACACCGATACCTGAAAAGCTCCAAGATGAAAACCAAAAACAAGCATGCTGCAACCAGAAGCCGCGATTGTCAAACCCCATGTTCAAAATCACGTCCCCCAGAAGGGTGGAGATAGGCTGGTTGTTTAAACACCTGCTTCAACAGCCTTCTTTTGGGTCCCCTTAGGGCAACCATTTGCTTGTTCAAACCAACTTTGCCCAGCCCCTCTCTCCGTAGCGGCCCAAACCATGCGCTGCCGTGGTATCTCACGTTGCTTGACTCATAGAATACCCAGCGATTCCATCTCCCATTGGTAATCTCCATGCCTGCAAATCCAAAGCGAACAAAGCGAAGCCATCAAAATGTGCATCAAACACCATGATACAATCCACGTAAACATCGTCTTGATGCTTTTGCTCAGCAGGGAATGAGGGAATGAATTTGACAGAATTCCCTTAAAGCCTTCAAGCAAACCAACTAGGGGAGGCATGGAATTTATCAGACTCCTTCCACTTCTCCTTCCCTGCCCATCGCACCGCTCGAAATCACGTCTCTCCTCAGCCGGAAATTTTGCCGGGGCCCAAAAAAAAAAGTTGGGGGCTCCGAACCGAACCGCGAGAGCCGCCCCGCAACGAATTCGGCCGCTCGAGTCCGCCGAGGCGCTTCGTGCCCAGGAACTTCCAGATGGGGCTGAACTCCCTGAGGTGGGAGTGGAATCCTCGCGGACGTCGAAGCGGGGCTCCCTCCCAGCCGCCCCCGAAGAACGGAAAGCGAGGCGGGCGGCGGGCGGCGCGGCCCATAAAAGGCGCTCCGTGAAGCTGGCTTGTCCCTGAGAGGACGAGGAAACTCCCAAAAGGAACCCAAAAGATCCTTGAGGCGTCACTACGAACAGACTCCAAAAGGAGCGAAAAACAGAATCCCGGAGGAAAAGCCAGCATTCTCATTCACACGAGGCCGTAAAAAGCATGTTGGGTTCACTTGCGCAACGAGTTCCAGTCCATATGACCCCAAAGGACCCAATGCTCAAAACTCCCAATCGGCCTGCATCTTCACGAGCTCTCAAGAGGAAACTCAGCTTGACGTGGAGAAAAAAACGGACAGTTTACAACAACCTTTATACAGCAAAACGGCTGTCCAGCTTTGTGGGTATCCCTCATATAGGTTGCCTAAACCTCTAACACTCAACCTCCGTTCTCCCAATTTGACCCGTGTTTTGGGAATCCCTCACATGAGTCATCATCAAAACATGGCACAAAAATGACCCACTTACGGTTGGGAGTGTCCCTAACCTTCATCTACCCGGGTTTTGATTGTGACTCACACGCCTTTCCATGGCCCTCTCATAGGTGTTTTTGTTGGCAACATAGATGGCCCTGGCACATGGAATCAAACCCATCTAAACCAGTGGAACCCTGCTATTTTTAACCAAACTATCCTAAAAAGGACACCTATGCCATAGGTGTCCTTTTTGGTTGTTTTGCTCGAAAAATAAATGGCCCTGGTTTACCTGGTGGTATCATCTACCAGGGAAACCCATCTATTTCCCCTGAAACCTATGAAAAGATACTATAGACACACATGGTCTTGGTGTAAGCTTAGGACTCTCGATGCGAGAGCGTTTTGTTTTTTTCCGCTCCTCGCTCGACCTCCACCAAGTTGCCAATGGCCGCGAAGGAGGCGATGAAACCTGGCGCATGACCCGGTGGCTGGCGCCATACTGTGGATGGACGAAATCTATTTCGCACCACCTGGCAAACCCTAAAAGGATGGAGTCCCTGTAAATGCCAACTAACACCGGTTTCTCATGGTTTCCAAGTGGTGCAAGATTTCGTCCATCCACAGTAGGCAGGGAATGCGCTTGAATGAACCCAGGCGTTGGTCCCCGAAGAAAGGAAACCACCAGCTGGATGGTTTACATGTCTCCTTCCCTGCCGAGCACCAGCAAGAGAAGTGGGCAGATGTTCTCACTTCCGGAGGAGTGCATTGGCCAAAACCGTCACGTGTTCGATTTGCCACTTTCTCTGGTCTTCCCAAAAGGCTATAAAGTGCAGAAACCAAGGGAGCGACTGCAGGAGTCAATCCAAAATGGTGCGAGGCATTGGAAAAACTTCCGCACCTACTCATGGCTGGATTTTTTCCTTACTAGCCTTCGCTTGCATGCCCGGCTGATTGCAGAGCTGCCATACACTTCCTACTGCAACCTGGGGTGCTCCCATTTGGCCGAATCGGTCAGCAAAGGTGGTGAAAATTTGAGCCCACGGGAAACCAAGGCAAACCGCCCGAACTTGTTTTCGGCAATGCTTGCTTGGATAAGACAGCATCGATTATGTATTCAAAA